ATTGGTTCAGCTCTCCCAAAACATAGAAACATCTTTGAAGTTCCTTTCAAGTATCGAAGAATCCATTTGACTACCTCCCAATGCTCCTTTCTTTGATTGGCGATGAATCTGCTTTCAACGCTAACTGCGTGAGCTATATCTGGTTGAGTACACACCATTCCATATATCAAACTTCTTACTGCAGAAGAATAGGGGATTGCCTTTATTTCTTTCCTCTCAGAGCTAGCTGTGGGACACGAACGCTTTGTCACCTTGAAATGGTTGGCCAGTGGTGTACTGACTGGCTTAACATCTTTCATGTTGAACCTTTCAATCACCCATTCAATCTATTTCTCCTGTGACAGCCATATCTTCATAGTTTTCCTGTCACGAACAATCTTCATGCTCAAAATATGTTGTGCTGAGCCTAAATTCTTCATGTCAAAATACTGCGACAAATCCTTTTTCAACTTGTTGATCATAGCAATATCATGTCCAATGATCAGCATATCATCGACATACAACAGTAGGATGATGAAGTTTCTATCAGAAAACCTTCATAATTATACACACTAATCTGTTACCGTTTTTGTGTACTCGTGCTCCACTATGAATGAATCAAACTTCTTGTACCATTGTCTCGGCGCTTGCTTTAGGCTGTAGAGACTCTTCTTCAGTTTTCAGACTAGATTATGTTTCCCTTTAACTTCAAATCCTTCTGGTTACTCCATATAGATATTTTCCTCCAAATCACCATGAAGAAAGGCAATCTTGATATCCATCTGTTCTACCTCCAGATTCAAGTGAGCTACTAATCCCAGAGCTACTCGAATGGAAGTCACCTTCACAATTGGGGAGAAGATTTCATCAAAGTCAATTCCCTTCTTCTGTCCAAAACCTTTGACCACCAAGTGAGCTTTATGCTGCAGTAGTTTACCGTTGCCATCGTTCTTCAACTTATACACCCATTTATTCTTCAAGGCTCTCCTGCCTCTTGAAAGTGGAACAAGCTCATAAGTAGTTCTTCTACAGAGAACTCATCTCCTCCGTCATGGCTTGTATCCAATAGTCTTTCTCTGTATGACTCTTTACTTTTGAAAAACTCTCAGGCTCCCCATCATTAGTAATCAGAATATACTGAGAAGCGGGATATTTGGTTGATGGCACGACAGCTCTTCTAAATCTCCGTAACTAAGGCCCAGTTGCTTCTGGTTGAGGGGGTTGCTCCCCCTACTCAACACCCTCTTTATCCGAATCTTCATCTCTTTCCTCGTGATCCTCAATTTCTAGCATGGGATCTTGCAACTCTGGCACTTCTTGTTGTACATCATCACATCTAGCATTTTGTGATGGCTCGGGAGGTGTTAAAAAGTCCGGAGTGATGACATCTCTACACTTTGCAGACTTCTCAAAATCTGCTATTGTCTAATTTTCTTGGAACACATCTATGCTCCTGAACATCTTCCTATTCACTGGGTCCCACAACTTGTACCTAAATGCTACATCTGAATAGCCCACAAATATGCATGGAGTGGACTTGTCATCAAGCTTCTGTCTGTTTTCCTTGGAGATGTGTGAACACCTTGCACCTGAAGACTCTCAAGTGAGAATATGATATCTTTCTTTTGGACCAGACTTCTTTAGGTATTGCAAAATTCAACGGGACTAAAGGTGACCTGTTGATGAGATAACAGGTTGTACGGGCGGCTTCAGCCTAGAATAACTTTGGCAACTTTGCCATTCTGTACATGTATCTGACTCTTTCAACAATATTATGGTTCATTCTCTCTGCCACACCATTGTGTTGTGGGGTACTGGGAATTGTTGTCTCATACTGGATACCTCTACTGGCACAATATGCTTTAAAAGCATTGAAAGTGTACTCGTCACTATTGTTTGTGCGTAGACACTTCAACTTATTCTCGGTCTCTATTTTCACCATTGCATGAAACTCCTAAAAGTGCTAGAATACCTCATCCTTCGTCTTCAGGAAATACACCCACAACTTCCTTGATACATCATCAATGAAAGTCAGAAAATACTTGTGGCAGCTAAGTGACTCTACTTCAATTGGGCCACAAACATCCAAGTATACCATACTGAGCACTTCTATTTTCCTCTTGCCCATTGAACTGAACGATACTCGATGCTACATACCATAAAGGCAATGATCACACGACTTTAGGGCACTCCCTTTGGATAAGGGTATCCTGGATTGCTTTGCCAAAAGATGCAATCCCTTCTCACTCATGTGAGCCAGTCTTCTGTGCCATAAGTCTGGTGACTCCTTGTTTTCTGCTACATTAAGACTTCCCAAATAGATCTTTGTTTAAGTCTTGTACAGTGTTGAAGACATCTTTCCTCTGGCGATTGTTAAAGCTCCTCTTATCAGCTTTTAACGGCCATTTTCGAAAGTACTTGTATAGCCCTGTCGGTCCAGGGTGCTTCCGGAGATAAGATTGAGGTGCAAATCTGGAACATGCCTCACATCTTTGAGAACCAACTTGTGTTTGACATTAGTTTGAATATTAATGTCTCTAATACCCTCAATCTTCGAATAACTAGAATTTCCCATTCGAACAGTGCCAAAACCTCCAACATTGTATGAACTAAAGAGTTCTCTATGAGAGGTGACGTGATAGGATGCAACTGTGTCTACCACTCATTTTGCACAGCTATGGTCAGCTACATGAATGCAATCCTGCTTTTCACCAACTGCAAAAAGTATTTCATCAGTTGTTATGGTTGTCGTGTTCTCTTCTCCTTTTGACTTACTGCTTTGGCCTTTATCTTTTCGACTTGGACAGTTCCTCTTTATGTGACCCTCCTGGTCACAGTGAAAGCAAGTGAATGTGGAGTTACCTTGACTTTTACTGTCTCTAGATTTACTCTTGTTATTCTATCCGCCACTACTCGTACTTCTTCCTCTACCTCTACCTCTATCTTCTGTAACAAGAGCATGAAACTGATGACCTCTCATGTCTTTCTTTCTTGTATTTTCATTGTATAGGGCGTTCGTGACCATGCTCATGGTCAGCTTTCCCTCTGGTGCAGAGTTGCTGAGAGAAAGTACCAATGTCTCCTAGCTGTCCAGTAAAAAACTAAGCAGTAGTACGGCTTGCATTTCATCGTCCAAGGGCATCTTGACGGTTGCAAGCTAATTCACCAGATTCTTGAATTCACTGGTGTGCTCAGCGATAGACACATCATTCTTTAACTTCAGATTTACAAGCCTTCTTATCACCAAGGCTTTGTTCTAGGCTGTCTTTGACTGGTACATTCCTTCTAACATTGTCTAGTGGACATATGCATCTATCTCCTGGGCGACATGATGGAACACACTGTGGTATATCCATTGTCTGATCTGACTGACAGTCTTCCGATTCATCTTTATCCAGTTCATCCTTCTCTGCTTCTGGTTTAACCCATTTTAGAGTAATAGGGTCAAACAGGTCTCTACAGTATAGGACGTCTTCCATCCGCGGCTTCTAGATTCCATAATTGGAGGCATTTAATTTGATCATCAATCTCGAAGTTGAAGCAGATTCTTCCATTGTATTCTGTGTTTTTACAAAAAAAAATCAGAATAAAAAATCTAAACATACGGATATGTTCAGAATACTCCAAATAGTTGAAAAAACACTATTGGATCGTCAAAATTGGATTTCAAATGGCTTAGATCTAGCCAAAATAGGTTGAATGGTTAAGATAGGCAAACTCCTGAGCGCTTGAGAAGCACCAGATAATTCTTCTGCTTCAGCTGGTGTTAGGCTAACGCCATCGGCGGTGGCAGGGCTGTCAGCGCGGCTAGCAACTCGGTCAATGGCTTGGTCAATTGGCTTGGCTTCGATCAATAGTCAACGACTCAGAGCGATGACGTTAGCACAATGCACACCTTCACTCGTCTTCTTCCTTCAGTCGGTGCATGGAGCGCGTGGCTAAGTATAGGACTTATGCGCGTTATTCATGCGGCGCATGAGGGCACATGTAGGGTCCTCTCAACTTATTCTTTACTTTTTCGGACTCCTCTCGATGAGATGGTCCTCCTGGTATGCTCGAAACTTGATTTCGACAAACTTAAAATCTGATAGAGTTTAAAAAACACACCGTGTTTCTTCCACCAGGCTTTGATACCACTTGTTAGGATTTGATAACCTGTTTGGCACACCAATAAGCAATCACAAACAATAACACAACAGACTTACGTGGTTCGGCAATGGCCTACATCCATGGGGAGAGATATCCACTATAGAATTATCCTGGAGAGAGTTTACAATATTCACACCTTACTCTCTCTCTCTATAGCACTCTCACTCACTCAGATTATTCAAACAAACACCCTGTGTTGCCCTCTCTTTTTTTTCCTTTCTCTTCCTCTCAGCGTCTATATATACACGGGAAGAGGGAAACAAAGTTAAGAAAGGAGTTATTGAGATGGTGTGCCACTTGCCCTCTTCCCTCCTACTTCTTGACTTGGAACCAACCTTTAATAACTTCTCCGTGTGGGTTGGAGCTAACATTATGCTTCTGATATGTCTTATGAACAACAAGGGTTTCAAATTAAAGCATGACATGAGATAATTTTATTTTTTTTACTGACCTTCATACTAATATAACTTTTTGCTCAAACACACTCTAAAATCAAATTTTATCTAATTTGATTTACATACCAATCTAAGTTTTAGTGATAGAGAATATATACTGAGTGACTATATAAACATAAAACTGAAGCCTTCTAACTAGTCATAGTGAATTTTGTTATTTAAATAAATCAAAATTATAAAACTAACCAATAATTTCATTTAATTTACATATAAAAAAACATTTTATATATGCATACACATAGATATACACATAAAAAAATTCAACTAAAATTTATGAATTTAAAAAAGACCAAAAGAAGAAAAATAAAGTAGAATTGTATACTATATTTTCTTTCAAGCCCACACTCTCAGCTTTGAGGCTAGCACTCTCGGCTTTCAGGTCCGCACTCTCAGCTTTGAGGTTTACACTCTTTGCTTTCAAGTCCGCGCTCTATCTTGTAGGCCCGTAATCTTAACTTTCAAGCCCATAATCTCAGCTTCCAAGTCTGCATTCTTTCCTTTTAAGGTCTGATTCTCTTGTTTCAAGGCCTTATTTTCTTCCTTCATGTCTTCCTTTTCTGTCTGTATCAATTTACAACAATTTAATAATATTTCATATATCTAATTTTATTGAGAAATTTAAAACTATATATCACACTTTTCTCCGTTTCTGTGAATTTTGACTCGCCACTATGTTAGGACGCTTCCTATCCTCCTCAGTAGTAGTGATTGGATCGCTTGGCTCCTCACTTGCCATATGAAACTGCAAAAAGAAAAAAATGAATAATAAATAAATAAAATGAGTACTGACACCCCTTATAAGAAAATATTAAGATTTGGAGTAAGAAATAAGAAGTGAACAAGTCATCTTTAGCAGATATCAACAGCGCAACTGGCAGCTTAGTCAACGGATTGGCTTTGATCAATAGTCAATGGCTCGACGCGATGACGTCAGCACCACGCGGACCTTCACCCGTCTTCTTCCTATAGCTGGTGCATGAAGCGCATGGCTAAGAGTGAAACTCGCGCGCGTTACTCATGCGGCTCATAAGGGCACATGTGGGGTCCTCTTGGCTTCTTCTTTGCTTTTCCCGACTCCTCTCGACGAGATGGTCCTCCTGGTATGCTCGAAACTTGATTTCGACAAACTTAAAATCTGATAGAGTTTAAAAAACACATCGTTTTTCTTCCACCAGGCTTTGATACCACTTGTTAGGATTTGATAACCTATTTAGCACACCAATAAGCAATCACAAACAATAACACAACAGACTTACGTGGTTTGGCAATGGCCTACATCCATGGGGAGAGATATCCGCTATAGAATTATCCCAGAGAAAGTTTACAATACTCACACTTCACTCTCTCTCTATAGCACTCTCACTCACTCAGATTATACAAACAAACACTCTGTGTTGCCCTTTTCTTTTTTTTTTTCCTTTCTTTTCCTCTCAGCGTCTATATATACACGGGAAGAGTGAAACAAAGTCAAGAAAGGAGTTATTGAGATGGTCTGCCACTTGCCCTCTTCCCTCCTACTTCTTGACTTGGAACCAACCTTTAATAACTTCTTCGTGTGGGTTGGAGCTAAAATCATGCTTTTGATATGTCTTGTGAACAACAAGGGTTTCAAATTAAAGCATGACATGAGATAATTTTGTTTTTTTTACTAACCTTCATACTAATATAACTTTTTGCTCAAACACACTCTAAAATCAAATTTTATCTAATTTGATTTACATACCAATCTAAGTTTTAGTGATAGAGAATATATACTGAGTGACTATATAAACATAAAACTGAAGCCTTCTAAGTAGTTATAGTGAATTTTGTTATTTAAATAAATTAAAATTATAAAACTAACCAATAATTTCATTTAATTTACATATAAAAAAACATTTTATATATGCATACACATAGATATACACATAAAAAAATTCAACTAAAATTTATGAATTTAAAAAAGAAAAAAAGAAGAACAAAAGAAGAAAAATAAAGTAGAATTGTATACCATATTTTCTTTCAAGCCCACACTCTCAGCTTTGAGGCTAGCACTCTCGGCTTTCAGGTCTGCACTCTCAGCTTTGAGGTTTACACTCTTTGCTTTCAAGTTCGCGCTCTATCTTGTAGGCCCGTAATCTCAACTTTCAAGCCCATAATCTCAGCTTCCAAGTCTGCATTCTTTCCTTTCAAGGTCTGATTCTCTTGTTTCAAGGCCTTATTTTCTTCCTTCATGTTTTCCTTTTCTGTCTGTATCAATTTACAACAATTTAATTATATTTCATATATCTAATTTTATTGAGAAATTTAAAACTATATATCACACTTTTCTCCGTTTCTGTGAATTTTGACTCGCCACTTTGTTAGGACGCTTCCTATCCTCCTTAGTAGTAGTGATTGGGTCGCTTGGCTCCTCATTTGCCATATGAAACTGCAAAAGGAAAAAAATGAATAATAAGTAAATAAAATGAGTACTGACACCCCTTATAAGAAAATATTAAGATTTGGAGTAAGAAATAAGAAGTGAACAAGTCATCTTTAGCAGATATCAATGGCGCAACTAGCAGCTTAGTCAACGACTTGGCTTTGATCAATAGTCAACGGCTCGATGCGATGATATCAGCACTACGCGGACCTTCACCCGTCTTCTTCCTTAAGCCAGTGCATGGAGCGCATGGCTAAGAGTGGGACTCGTGCGCGTTATTCATGCGGCTCATAAAGGAACATGTGGAGTCCTCTTGGCTTCTTCTTTGCTTTTCCCGACTCCTCTCGACGAGACAGTCCTCCTGGTATGCTCAAAACTTGATTTCGACAAACTTAAAATCTTATAGAGTTTACAAAACACACCGTTTTTCTTCTACCAGGCTTTAATACCACTTGTTAGGATTTGATAACCTGTTTGGCACATCAATAAGCAATCACAAACATTAACACAATAGACTTACGTGGTTCGGCAATGGCCTACATCTATGGGAAGAGATATCCACTATAGAATTATTCTGGATAGACTTTACAATACTCACACCTCACTCTCTATCAATTTATAACAATTTAATTATATTTCATATATCTAATTTTATTGAGAAATTTAAAACTATATGTCACACTTTTCTCCGTTTCTGTGAATTTTGACTCGTCATTATGTTAGGACGCTTCTTATCCTCCTCAGTAGTAGTGATTGGGTCGCTTGGCTCCTCACTTGCCATATGAAACTGCAAAAGGAAAAAAATGAATAATAAATAAATAAAATGAGTATTGACACCCCTTATAAGAAAATATTAAGATTTGGAGTAAGAAATAAGAAGTGAACAAGTTATCTTTAGCAGATATCAACGGCGCGGCTGGCAGCTTAATCAACGGCTTGGCTTTGATCAATAGTCAATGGCTCGACGCAATAACGTCAGCACCATGCGGACCTTTACCCGTCTTCTTCCTTCAGCCGGTGCGTGGAGCGCGTTGCTAAGAGTGGGACTCACGCGCGTTATTCATGCGGCTCATAAGGGCACATGTGGGGTCCGCTTGGCTTCTTCTTTGCTTTTCTCGACTCCTCTCGACAAGACAGTCCTCTTGGTATGCTCGAAACTTGATTTCGATAAACTTAAAATCTGATAGAGTTTAAAAAACACACCGTTTTTCTTCCACCATGCTTTGATACCACTTGTTAGGATTTGATAACCTGTTTGGCACACCAATAAGCAATCACAAACAATAATACAAGAGACTTACGTGGTTCGGCAATGGCCTACATCTATGGGGAGAGATATTCAATGTAGAATTATCCCGGAGAGAGTTTAAAATACTCACAATTCACTCTCTCTCTATAACACTCTCACTCACTCAGATTATACAAACACACACTCTATGTTGCCCCTTTTTTTTCCCCCCTTATCTTCCTCTCAGCATCTAAATATACACGAGAAGAAGGAAACAAAGTCAAGAAAGGAGTTATTGAGATGGTCTGCCACTTGCCCTCTTCCCTCATACTTCTTGACTTGGAACCAACCTTTAATAACTTCTCCATGTGGACTGGAGCTAACTGCATGCTTCTGATATGTCTTATGAACAACAAGGGTTTTAAATTAAAGCATGACATGAGATAATTTTGTTTTTTTTTACTGACCTTCATACTAATATAACTTTTTGCTCAAACACACTCTAAAATCAAATTTTTATCTAATTTGATTTGCATACCAATCTAAGTTTCAGTAACTGAGAGTATATACTGAGTGACTATATAAACATAAAACTGAAGCCTTCTAACTAGTCATAGTGAATTTTGTTATTTAAATAAATTAAAATTATAAAACTAACCAATAATTTCATTTAATTTACATATAAAATAACATTTTATATATGCATACACATAGATATAAACATAAAAAAATTCAACTAAAATTTATGAATTTAAAAAAGAACAAAAGAAGAAAAATAAAGTAGAATTGTATACCATATTTTCTTTCAAGCCCACACTCTCAGCTTTGAGGTTAGCACTCTCGGCTTTCAGGTTCGCACTCTCAGCTTTGAGGTTTACACTCTTTGCTTTCAAGTCCGTGCTCTATCTTGTAGGCCCGCAATCTCAGCTTTCAAGCCCATAATCTCAGCTTCTAAGTCTGCATTCTTTCCTTTCAAGGTCTGATTCTCTTGTTTCAAGGCCTTATTTTCTTCCTTCATGTCTTCCTTTCTGTCTGTATCAATTTACAACAATTTAATTATATTTCATATATCTAATTTTATTGAGAAATTTAAAACTATATATCACACTTTTCTCCGTTTCTGTGAATTTTGACTCGCCACTCTGTTAGGACGCTTCCTATCCTCCTCAGTAGTAGTGATTGGGTCGCTTGGCTCCTCATTTTCCATATGAAACTGCAAAAGGAAAAAAATGAATAATAAATAAATAAAATGAGTACTGACACCCTTTATAAGAAAATATTTAGATTTGGAGTAAGAAATAAGAAATGAACAAGTCATCTTTAGCAGATATCAACGGCGCAACTGGCAGCTCAGTCAACGGCTTGGCTTTGATCAATAGTCATTGGCTCGACGCGATGACGTCAGCACCACGCGGACCTTCACCTATCTTTTTCCTTCAGTCGGCGCGTGGAGCGCGTGGTTGAGAGTGGAACTCACGCGCATTATTCATGTGGCTCATAAGGGCACATGTGGGGTCCTCTTGGCTTTTTCTTTACTTTTCCTGTCTCCTCTTGACGAGACAGTCCTCCTGGTATGCTCGAAATTTGATTTCAACAAACTTAAAATCTGATAGAGTTTAAAAAACACACCGTTTTTCTTCCACCAGGCTTTGATACCACTTGTTAGGATTTGATAACCTATTTGGCACACCAATAAGCAATCACAAACAATAACACAAGAGATTTACGTGGTTCAGAAATAAGACGTGGGTGACTGTATAAACATAAAACTGAAGCCTTCTAAGTAGTCATAGTAAATTTTGTTATTTAAATAAATTAAATTATAAAACTAACCAATAATTTCATTTAATTTACATATAAAATAACATTTTATATATGCATACACATAGATTTACACATAAAAAATTCAACTAAAATTTATGAATTTAAAAAAAAAAAACAAAACAAAACAAAAGAAGAAAAATAAAGTAGAATTGTATACCACATTTTCTTTTAAGCCCTCACTCTCAGCTTTGAGGCTCGCACTCTCGGCTTTCAGGTCCACACTCTCAGCTTTGAGGTTTACACTCTTTGCTTTCAAGCCCGCACTTTCAACTTGTAGGCCCGTAATCTCAACTTTCAGGCCCGTAATCTCAGCTTCCAAGTCTGCATTCTTTCCTTTCAAGGTCTGATTCTCTTGTTTCAAGGCCTTATTTTTTTCCTTCATGTCTTCCTTTTCTGTCTGTATCAATTTACAATAATTTAATTATATTTCATATATCTATTTTTATTAAGAAATTTAAAACTATATATCACACATTCCTCTGTTTCGGTGAATTTTGACTCGTCACTGAGTTAGGACGCTTCCTATCCTCTTCAGTAGTAGTGATTAGGTTGCTTGGCTCCTCACTTGCCATATGAAACTGCAAAAGGAAATAAATGAATAATAAATAAATAAAATGAGTGACACTAACACCCATTGTAAGAAAATATTCAGATTTGGAATAAGAAATAAGAAGTTAACAAGTCATCTCTAGTAGGTATCAACGGCGCCACTGGCAGCTCAGTCAACAGCTTGGCTTAGATCAATAGTCAACGGCTCGATGCGAAGACGTCAGCACCACGCGGACCTCCACCCGTCTTCTTCCTTCAGCTGACACGTGGAGTGCGTGGCTGAGAGTGGGACTCACGCGCGTTATTCATGCATTTCGTAAGGGTGCGTGTGGGGTCCTCTTGGTTTCTTCTTTATTTTTCTGAACTCCTCTCGACGAGACGGTCCTCCTGGTATGCTCGAAACTTGATTTCGACAAACTTAAAATCTGATAGAGTTTGAAAAATGCACTGTTTTTCTTCCTCCGGGCTTTGATTCCACTTGTTAGGATCGGGTAACCTATTTGGCACACCAATAAGCAATCAAAAATAATAACACAAGAGACTTACGTGGTTCAGCAATAGCCTACATCCACGGGGAGAGATATCCACTATAGAATTATCCCGAAAGGAGTTTACAATACTCAAACTTCACTCTTTCTCTCTATAGCACTCTCACTCACTCAGATTATACAAACACACACTCTGTGTTGCTTTTTTTTTTCCCTTCTCTTCCTCTCAGCATACGTATATACATAGGGAGAGGGAAACCAAGTCAAGAAAGGAGTTATTGAGCTAGTCTGCCACCTGCCCTCTTCGTTCTTACTTCTTGACTTTGAGCCAACCTTCAATAACTCCTCCATGTGGGCTGGAGCTAACATCATGCTTCTAATATGTCTTATGAACAACAAGGATTTCAAATTAAAGCATGACATGAGATGATTTTATTTTTTTTACTGACCTTCATACTAATATAACTTTTTGCTCAAGCACACTCTAAAATCAGATTTTTATCTAATTTGAGTTACTTACCAATCTAAGTTTCAATGATAGAGAGTATATACTGAGTGACTATATAAACATAAAACTGAAGCCTTCTAAGTAGTCATAATGAATTTTGTTATTTAAATAAATTAAAATTATAAAAATAACCAATAATTTCATTTAATTTACATATAAAATAACATTTTATATATGCATACACATAGATATACATATAAAAAATTCAACAAAAATTTATGAATTTAAAAAAAGAAAAAAGAATAAAAGAAGAAAAATAAAGTAGAATTGTATACCACATTTTCTTTCAAGCCCACACTCTCAGCTTTAAGGCTCGCACTCTCGGCTTTCAGGTCCGCACTCTTAGCTTTGAGGTTTACACTCTTTTCTTTCAAGTCCGCACTCTCAGCTTGTAGGCCCACAATCTTAGTTTTCAGGCCCATAAACTCAGCTTCAAAGTCTGTATTTTTTCATTTCAAGGTCCGATTCTTTTGTTTCAAGGCCTTATTTTCTTCATTCATGTCTTCCTTTTCTGTCTATATCAATTTATATCAATTTAATTATATTTCATGTATCTATTTTTATTGAGAAATTTAAAACAATATATCACACCTTCCTCCGTTTCGGTGAATTTTGACTCGCCACTGGGTTAAAACGCTTCCTATCCTCCTCAGTGGTAGTGATTAGGTCGCTTGGTTCCTCATTTTCTATATGAAACTGTAAAAGGAAAAAATTGAATAATAAATAAATAAAATGAGTGACACTGACACCCCTTATAAGAAAATATTCAGACTTGGAGTAAGAAATAAGAAGTGAACAAGTCATCTCTAGCAGATATCTATCTCCACCCAAACAGCCATGCCCTTTTTGACGCTTGAACCTAAGAGAGGTTTTGGTTATTGCCACTAGGCCACTTTGATCATACATTTTTTTGATAACCAAGTATTCGGGTTAGCATTTTTTTTAAGATGCACACCTCGACTACTCTTGGGACCCTAAACCGATTGACCAGGCAAAGACATAGTGGTCCACTAGTAATCTAGCTAGGGCACATTAAGCATTCATAAGAAAGGTGATTGCTTAAGGCAATCTACTTTTAGCTTTGAAGTGCCCTTAAAGTAAGTTTTCATTTTATTACACAAAATGACATAACTAGTATATACAACACCTCAAAAGAAATGTGTATAGAAATAGGGAAAGATTATGTACACACTTCTCAAATGGTTTATTCTGTATGCACCTATATTAATGAATAAAGTTGATATAATTTCATATTTTCTGAGTTATAACTTAAAAAAAAAAAAAAAAAAAAAAAGTCATAACCAAATAACACATGAGACATAATCAGAGATCTCATGAGTTATAACTAAAATAAGATCATAACTAAAGAATAAAATGGCATAACTCAGGGTGTATATGGTAAGAAGTGTGTATAATAAAATTTTCCAAGGGTGTCCTAATATAAGTACATATACAAAGCATAATTAATCATCTAAGCATGTTTTGGTAGTGTAATAGAAGGTGAGAAAGACTAAAGATCCACAATTTTAGACCCACAATAATGTGCTAATAGAGTTGAGTCCTATGTCATTAAGTGTGTAATAAATTAAAAATTGACACACATATTATATTATATCATTGTGGGTCAAATTGCGAGTGATTTTTAGAGGTCTGAAACATTTTCTTTAGAGTAAATCATAACTAAACATCAATTGAGACATAATCAAATAGCACTTCTGTAATAACAAAAATAATAATTACTTAGTCATAACAAAATCATAACCAACACCTTATGATTCATAATTAAAATAACCTAAAAAAAAACTTCTACCTTACAATCACAATGTGTCATAATACATAATACATAACTCATAAATTTATAATCAAAAATTGTAAAAGATTATAATTAAACATATGAGACACCCAAAAAATAAAAAGGTGTATAATGGGTATTCCATTGTAGTATAATAGAAACAGTACACCCTCATGAATTCATATTCAAGTCAATCTAGAAATCATGTAGAATTCATATCCAAGTTAATAAATTATTGAATCTTTCAATTGATACATCAAATAAAAAAGAGATTCAAAGTTAGGGTTTCACATTCCAACTGGGTGAAATAGTCAATTAGTTGTAGAATTCCTCATATCAATATATCAACTACAACAGAGAAATGAAAAAAATGAGAGAACCATCAATGAAAGATAAGCTTCTTTTTTTTTCCATTTTCTTTTTCAAATTTCTATCTAAATTCATGATTTAAACACAATGTTATAATTACAAGTCATATAATTTTATGGTCTTAATACCACTTGTCTTGGAATGAAGTTATTTCATAATCAAAAGTATCACAATGGATCATAATTAAATAATATAATTAAAGATCACTTCGATTATAATCAAAATGACATTCATAATAACAAAAACATAACCAAACTAATTAATCATTAAAATAAAATCTAGTATCACGCAGTGTTTCCATAAGTGCACACTACATAACTCATAACCAAGAATAAAAAAAGATAATAATTCAACATATGATATAACCCCGAAAATAACATGCATATCATAAAATTTAGAAACACATTTCAGAACTCTCATGAATTTGTATCCACATCAATTAAGAAATCCTATAAATCTTGAGTTCCAAAATCAACAATACATAATATTACATATATACTGTTATGAAGAAGAACTCATTCACCTTAGTAACTGAATTTCCTATCTCAAAAAAAATATGAATTTCAATTGAATTGCAGAGTAGAGAGGACCGATATATATATATATACATACAAGATCATAAATATATAGAATTTAGAATCATATTTCAGAATTCTCATGAATTTGTATCCACATCAATCAAGAAATCCTACAAATCTTGAGTTCCAAAATCAACAATACATGACATTATATATATATGATCATAAGTATATGGAATTTATTAGCACATTTTAGAACTCTCATGAATTTGTGTCCACATCAATCAAGAAATTCTATACATTTTGCGTTCCAAAATCAACAATACATGATAATATATATATATATATATATATTCCAATTTCATCAAATAGTTTGAATTCATCATATCAAAACATCAAATACAGGATGAGACATAGAGATTAAAAGTTAAGATCTCAATATATATATACTGATATGAGAAAGAACTCATTCACCTTAATGACTGAATCGCTAATCTTCTATAGAACGTGAATTTCAAATTAATCGTTCTATTGATGATCGATTTCGAATGTGAGATAAAGAGAGAGAGAAAGAGAGCAAAGTGGAGAGGATCGAGATATATATAGGATCAGAAATGTGTCTAACTAAAATTCCCTCCCAAAGTCATTCCAAAGAACTCGTGCTAGCCTCGTGATATGGGGAGGCTATAGGGTGTCACATTTGGTTACATTACATGTGTTATTTTGTTATAATTAGGGCAAATTTCATTTTGAAAAATGTTAAAAACTCCAAATATTTTACCAAATGTTCTACCAAATATCTCACATTGATGTGGGACACACACCATGCGGGTCTCATGTGAATTCCACACCCATCAGAGATATTTGTTAAAATATTTGGGATAAGGCCTTACTCCTTAAAGTAAATCATAACTTAACATCAATTGAGATATAATCAAATAACACTTTGGTAATGACAAAAATAATAATCACAATAAGTGTAGGGGTGTAAAAATGGACCGAGACCCGTGGGTGGCCCGAAGCCCGAGGTGGGCCCGGCCCGTTTCGGCCCGATTAAGCCCAGGCCTGAGCCTAGCCCAGTACCTGGGGCCCAGCCCGGCCCAAAAAAATTTTCTGGAAAAAAAAAATGTTTAGAACGTAACAAAAAATGTCAAATTTGCTTAAGTTAAAAAAATAAAAAATAAAAAATAAATAAAAAACACACTAAATCGCAAACCGAACCGCACCCGCCCGCACAAACCGCGAACCGCATTGCGGGCGGTTGCGGGTCCATTTTTCCCCAACCGCATAAGTGCGGGTCGGGTCGGTTTTGACCCGCACCCGGCCAAAACCGACCCGCGAGCAGCCCTACCTGCCACACTATCACTGTAGCTGGCAGTGCATAGCCAAAACAAGAGAGGAAGTGAGGGAAGATATATATATATATATATATGGAGCCTAGGCCTAGCCTAGCCTATTCTGCTAGCAGCATGAGTTACCTACCTTACCTATAAGTTATAACTATTACAAACATAAAGTAATATGTAAAAATGGTGAGCAAATTTTATTTATTGAAAATGAAAAAAGATTGGAGCTATAAAATAAGAGATTTAATAACTTTAATTGGTGTGCGGGTCTTTTGTGATGTGATGTTTTGGTCTTGATTTTTTATTTTTTTACATAATTAGAACTTTTTTAGAACTCCCAAATTAAAAGAATATATCATTTCTGATTAAAAATATATTTATTCATCATATTACGATAGACTAATAGAACATAAATTAAAGGAACTGTTGCCTCTCTCTCTACGCCAGCCCCCCTACTATAGTACTAGCCTGCTCAAAATTGATCTGTTGTATCTCCTACTCAAACACAACTCAAACGAATATATATAAACATACAAACGGTTATAATTCAAACTACTATAAATATATTTTATTTTTCAAAATAAATTTCACAACAAATAATTCTTTCTCTCTCTCTTAAACTCTCTCAATATTTCTTAAACTCTCAATCTCTCTCAACCCTCAATTAATTTTGAAGTGCCATCCCTAAGTGACTATTGCAATTATGCAACAAGAAACTTTTATCAGAAGAAGAAAATTTCTATATCGCATTTGCCAGTCGGTAACATTAATTAGTTTAATTAAATTTATTAACTACTCATTTTTTTCATTAATTATTAGTGCACATATATTAATTATTATTTTTTACTAATTGAATTTACACATTATTTAAATTAATTGTTAATTCTTATATATTGTTGTACTTACATTACTATGGATCCTAATATGCTTAATGTTTATGTTGATGTTAATACATATACTACACAACATGAATCTGTTGATTCTCCTTCTAATATCCCTCTTCCAACAGTTGGATCACCATCTATGAGCAGAAGTAGTAGTGTTTGGGAACATTTTGAAAAAATATCTATAAATAATCCTGATGGTACAATTACATTTAAAGCAAAATATAAATATTGTGCACGTTTACTTAGTGTTGCATCTGCAGGGGGTACTAGTCATTTAAAAAGCATTCTGACAAATATTTACAAAGTAAACAACCAGATATTCAAAGTCAAATGCAATTAGGGGCTTCATCAACTGGTAATTTGCAAACATTTTCATATGATCCTATACATGCACAAAATTCTGTAGTTCATTATATTATTAAAAAAGAACAACCTTTTAGTACTAGTGAATGTCCTGATTTTACCAAAATGATTCACGAAAGTTTTGCTCCACAATATCAAAGTTTTTCA